ACAGAGACAGCCTGAGCAACCTGCGCCGCTACTACAACCAGAGCGCAGCGGGTGAGCCGGCGGCGGGGCCAGGTTACCCCCACCACGGAGGGTCGGGAACCCCGGACCCCGGGTCCGATCCTCACTCCGAGATTAGTGGTCCCGCCCGAACCCCAAAGAGCGGGCAGGGCCGTCGCCTCTAGGTCAGTTTCGGTTTATTCCCAGAGGAGGTGGGTGCGGGCGGGGTGACCGCGGGGCTGACGCTGCGGGACAGGGTCTCACACCCTCCAGAAGATGTACGGCTGCGACTTGGGGCTGCGACTTGGGGCCCGACGGGCGCCTCCTCCGCGGGTACAGTCAGTTCGCCTACGACGGCGCCCACTACATCGCCCTGAACGGGGACCTGCGCTCCTGGACCGCGGCAGACGTGGCCGCTCAGATGACCAGGCGCAAGTGGGAGGCTGAAGGAGTAGCAGAGTTCGTGAGGAGCTACCTGGAGGGGGAGTGCGTGGACTGGCTGCGCAGATACCTGGAGCACGGGAGGGAGATGCTGCAGCACTTAGATAAGAGGGGTGAGTGGTCTCCTTCCTCTTGGTCCTCAGGCCGGCACCCCATGAGGAGAGTGGAGTAAGGGTCACAGCAGTGAACCCCTCTGGTCAGGGAAGAAGGACCCCCACCCCACCCCTGGTTTCCTGACTCTCCCAGAGGACCCAACTTTTTTCAGAACAGCTGAGGAGTCCAGTCTCTCCTGAGCTGAGGGGAGACCAGCCCTGAACTCACCTGCACAGGATCTTTTTTACCCGGCAGTCACCAAGGTCTTACTGGTGAGGACATTTTTCTGGTCTGACTCCTGATTTTCTAAGTCCCCTGGTCAGGAGCAAAAGCCTGTGTTCTCCTTGTTAGAGACTGTCCTCCTATGCAGAGCTATCTCCCTAATTCTAGAGCTTTCTAAGGAATAAGTGATTACCCCAGGCTCCCCAGCCCAGGCTGGTTTCTAGACTGTGTTCTTCCTCTTCCAAACCCACTGCCCTGTCCATTTGGAGGATGGTCACAGGAGGCTTTTCCAGCGTCCATGAGGGGAAAACCCAAAGTGTGAATGTTCATGCCCTTCTTCTCAGATCCCCCAGAGACACACGTGACGCACCACCCCATCTCAGACCATGCGGTCACCCTGAGGTGCTGGGCCCTGGGCTTCTACCCTGCGGAGATCACCCTGACCTGGCAGCGAGATGGGGAGAACCTGACCCAGGACATGGAGCTGGTGGAGACTAGGCCTGGGGGGAATGGAACCTTCCAGAAGTGGGTGGCTGTGCTGGTGCCATCTGGAGAGGAGCAGAGATACACGTGCCATGTGCAGCATGAGGGGCTGCCGGAGCCCCGAGTCCTGAGATGGGGTGAGGAAGGGGATGTGGGCACAGAGGATCTTCTCAGAGGGATCAGGAGTCCTGCTGGACCCCTCAGAAGGTCAGGGTGAGGCCTGGGCTCAGGGTCTCCCACCCCTTCCCTTCCAGAGCCCCCTCCTCAGTCCTCCATCCCCACCGGGGGCCTCATTGCTGGCCTGGTTCTCCTTGGAGCTGTGCTCACTGGGGCTGCGGTGGCTGCAGCTGTGATGTGGAGGAAGAAGCACCCAGGTAGGGAAGGGAATGGGGCATCCTGTCCACTGGGAGCTTTCAAGTCCCAGGGGGACCTTGCCCCCACCCCCCATTAATGAGAAATACCATCCACACACATATGTTGCCCAATGTGAGGTGATTACTAGCCCTCTTGTAAAGCATTTTTGAAAATGAACCCAAAATTGGTGGCCTACATAAATCTGGTGATGAGGCCCTGATTCTCAGCAAATGGCCAAGGGGAAGGTGCCTGCTAAGCACAGACCCCAGGAGGCAGTTCATCCAGTTTCCCCTCATTTCCTTTCTTTATGTTTCCCAGTCCTGCCCTAGGTGTCCATTCATAGTTCTGGAAAATTCCCTGTGGTCTAGGGGATTCCTTTTGAACTTCATGATCTGACTCTCTCTGGTCTCACATGATGTCTTTCCCACAGAGGGAGAAGGAGGAAGCTACACTCAAGCTGCAGGTGAGTGTGGGTCAGGGGTTTGGTCCCTGAGCCCCAGGACAATGTAGATGGAGCCCCTGGGGCAGTCACCCCATCAGTCCTCCTGTGGTCTCCTCTCTCGTGTCTCTGACCAGGTCTGTGTTGTTTTCCCTCAGGTAGATACAGTGCCCGGGCCTCTGATGTGTCTCTCAGCTCCTAAAGGTGAGACCCTGGGACCTGTGTGGGAGGGGCTGGGGCAGAGAGGAGGGACCAGGTTATGGGGAGCTGTGAGTGGGCCATTTGATGATGTGGTGGGCTACTGAGAATGAGAAGCACTTACGTGCCCTTTCCTTCAGTGTGAGACAGCTGCCTGTCTCAGTGATGCAGGGTTCCTTCTCACCCCCATTTGGTACTACGGGCATCTGGGTATTTGTGGTCACTTCTCAGGGATCATCTCTCTGCTCTTGTGTCCTTATTCTCCAGTGGCACCTGTCCCAGCAGGCCTGTGACCACAGGGACTCAGATACCACCTGGACTTTTTTTTTTTTTT